GCACACGCACATTAATAATAATTGACAATAATAATAATTAACGATATTAGTTATTAATGATGATAATAAGGATGATAATGACCATAATAATAATAAATATCATTTTTATAGTGCTTATACCCGCTTAAAAGCAAGCTATATTCGCTTTATAAGCTATTGTTGTGTATATGTGTGTATGTGTCTCTATGTAAGTGTGTGTCTGCGTGTGTGTATATATGTGTGTGTGTGTGTGTGTGTGTGTGTGTGTGTGTGTTTATGTTTGTGTGTATTACACTGTATTAGATTGTGTTTGTGTGCGTGTAAAATGGATTTATGACATGATTTGACACTCTTACTACTCAGAAGATTTGACTTCAAATTTGACAATGACCAACCAAAATAAATTGTCTGCCAGATATTTTCACACTTGCACAGCTAACGATTTTTATTCCCCAAAAAGTCGTATTTGTTAGTCATTTTTAATGAGCTGTCGATGAGTTTATATGTGCATTTTAACAAATCTAGCATAGACATGCGGGCAGTTATAGGTTTTTCAGTGTTATGTTAACTGGCATTCTTTGGATGCTTACGTAAGAGTACATGACCCGTAGCGATGCGTACTTGCAAGGAAGAGACATTAATTGTTAGGGACATCGTGGTGAAATCAAGCACTTGTCAAAATTATGAAATCGGAGAAACTGGCATTTTTCTTCCCCTTTTGGTTATTTTTTTATGGAATATTTAATTTTTGGCTTAATACCTCTTATGTGTCTGTTTAAGAACACATTCCTGTGTGGTTTTTACTTAAAAACGTTTATATAAAGCAAACACAAAAATGTAAATTTACAATTTCCAAGGACTCTCAAGGTTTGGTAGTCATCAAATTTTGACGACCAATTTTCTCGCTTATTTTACCTCTGAAACCAGGTAGTATTTTAAAAAGGACCTCCCCTAAACTAAACGATCTAAATCGTGTCAAAATTGTTTTATCTCAACTTCATTTGTGATTTTTTTTGTAAGTAGGTCTGTAGTGTCATTTATTATGACATATCTGTAATGACATTTGTAATGATAAAAGTAACATCTCTAATGAAGTCTGTTTTGATATCTGTAATGGTCAAGTAGTATATTTATTTGTAATGACAGATTCATATGTAAGGACACTTGTTTAATGACGCATGTAATGACAACTTCGTCTGGCACAACATATGTAATGTCAGTTACATCTGTGTAATGATGTGCATAATGACAAGTTCATCTGTGATGACATCTGTGTAATGATGTACATAATAATAATAATAATATACAACGTTTATATAGCGCATTTCCAAAAAGGTAGCTCAATGCATTTTACATTGGAACACCCATTTTCAAAACCTTTCTTACTACTTCCTTTCGTCTCATGCAATTATTATATATTTATGCGCGCACGCACACACACACACACACACACACACACACACACACACACACACACACACACAGAGACTATTTTCATTTAGACATAGGCACAGAACAACTATAATTTAAAAAAATAACGTTAAAAGCTTATGAAGGATAGGCCTGCTGGAACAGAAAATGTTTAAGATGTCTTTTGAAGCTATCAATTGTTTTTGTTTGTCTTAGTTCCATGGGTAATCTGTTCCACATAAATGGACCAAGATATGAGAAAAATAAGTTCATCTGTGATAACATCAGTAATGAGACCAGCAATGGTCAGTACATCTGTAGTGATGTAAGTATTCACACCTGTAATGGCGAGTGTATCCGTAATACCCCACAGAAGATGAACGGCGACTGAAGCAGACCGGAGCGGAGTTCTGCCGCACCAACAGGGGAGGCCTCATCACGTTCCACGGGCCCGGGCAGCTGGTGGCCTACCCTGTGCTCAATTTGCAGAAGTTCAATCCCAGCATGAAGTGGTAAGTGTCTATAATTTCTTGATTAATATCGCTATATTTTTAATAGAGAATTAATGAGAATACATGTACTGTCAAATTGGCAAAATGTTGATTAAAAGTTATATGCTCAGTGCTCGTCTAGTGGTAAACAATACCTGAGTCAGGTATTCAGCATGTTGTTCAATTTAGAAAAAAACAAAGAAAAAAAACAGTTAATTTTAAAGAATATCTGTATAAGATTTGGGGGGGGGGGGGGGGGGTGTGGAGGGGACTGATTATTCTGATAGTTTGTCGTTTCCTTTGACTTTGAATTGTATTGCTTTTCTCTCACCATGCAGTCGTTTTCTTTTTCATTTTCAGGTATGTGGGTCAACTGGAACAAACGCTCATTAAAACTTTACAGAGATTTGGGTTGTCGGGCCGGACCACAGACCAAACTGGCGTGTGGGTGGACGACAGGAAAATTGCTTCAATCGGTAATACATTTTATGCATAGACCTTTGTGTCTCACTTATAAGAACAGAGAAAATATGCTTGCCTGTATTGTTAAAGTGTTTCAATTGGTAGTACATTTTATGCGTAGACTTTGGTGTTTACTTATTGGAGCAGAGGATAGGTGTCTGCCTTTGTTAAAACGCTTAATAGGTTGTACATTTTATAATTAGACGTTTGCGTTTATTAGAGCAGAGGATAGATACTTGCCTTTTTTGGTAAAGTGTTTCAATTGGTAATACATTTTATGTGTAGACCTTTGTGCTTGATTATTAGAGCACAAGAAAGGTGCTTGCCTTCATTGTCTTCGATTTTGGATATTTTCTGTAACTTTCGTTATTTGCACTTTTGACCCTAGAAACTTGGTGGATTTGGAGGATTTAGTAGACCACATACAATCTTCACTGATATAGCCTGTTCCCCAGGTCCTCAACACAGTCCATAATTATACTTTTTGTAGTTTTCTACACATTACCTGCAGTTTCAATTTGTATGACAGACATTTTGAAATAAAAACTTGGACAATTAAAGTTATTTTTTATGTTTTGTTTTAGTAAGAGTTTTACAGCACTTGCAATACAATTAGATTAAATATAAATGCCGAAGATTAGAGGTGTTACTAGAGAATAACAAGCGCAACAAAAAGGGGGAGAGATAAGAACGATAGATGTTTTATTGAAAAGAAGGAGCGAACCGCACCAGAACACCTGCCAACCACCCACAAGTTATATTTTAGGTTATACTTGACAGTTCTTCATTATGCTTTAGTATAATTAGTCTGCTTGCAACCACATTGGAAAGCAAAAAGTTCTTTAATAAAACAGAAAAAAAAAATGTTATCCTCAGGTCTGCACGGCAGCCGGTATGTGACAACACACGGAGTGTCCTTGAACTGCGACGTTGACCTGTCGTGGTTCGAGCAGGTGACCCCCTGTGGGCTAGAGGGTGTGGAGATGACCAGCCTGAGCCGAGAGCTGGAGCACCCCGTGCCGTACCAGGACGCCATCAAGCCTTTCCTTAGGTCAGTGAATGAACCCAGACCTTATGTTGACTTGTCGTTTTACCGTCTTACAACCTGTCCCCGTGGTTTTATGCACCCTGCATAATTTAGCAAAATTTGATCATTTTTTACATAATTTCTGGTTATTTTCCTTTATCGTTATTTGATAACATTAACAGAATCACATAATTTCACATTTTTGGCCTCAGTTTGCATAATTTCAGAATTTTTCTTGGATAAAGCGACGGGGACAGTACAACACTGTGCCTTTGAAAAAGATATTGGGGGGGGGG